CAAGTCTAACCACAGCTGATCTTCATGAGGCAAGTCTAACCACAGCTGATCTTCATGAGGCAAGTCTAACCACAGCTGATCTTCATGAGGCAAGTCTAACCACAGCTGATCTTCATGAGGCAAGTCAAGTCACAGTAGACCGTCATGAGTAGTGATGCGCGGATGAGCTAAAACGTCACCCGAATCCGCAGCTTCAAATAAATTATCCACCCACCAACCGCCCGCACCTGTATTTTTGTCTGATTTAGATAACCGCACCCGACCCGCACCCGATCATCACATTAGGGTTCGTACGGTCATGAAAAACCTGGAAAAGTCATTGAACAGCAATTTCCAGGCCTAGAAAGTTTTGTAAAAATAAATAAACTCAAAGTTTTTGAAAAGTCATGAAAATCTATTTCACAATTCTCTGTATAATAGAATTATGTTTAATCAGATCCTGAATTTCGTTGCGGGATTGCGCATACATCGCATTACTCATTCCCGCAGCTTTCGACTTTAAAATGAGGGAAATTACTGCAAAACCTTTATTCAATATAGCGTGTATGAGTAAATAAATCCACACAAACCATCAGACGAAAACAGCAGTGATTCAGCTGAACCGCATCTTCTCTCTTTGACTTTTGCTTCACATCGACGCATCTAGAGCTGCTGCACGCTGCGATAGAAGACTTTAGCTCGCGTTTCGGGACAGTTGACAGAATTGTCAATTGCCTAATCGGTCATTGTTGCATCATCACAAAAATGTATTATTTTCACATCTTTTTAAGCCATTCGGTACTCGCGTTCTCCAGAGGCGCGTGCGCTCACAGTCACATCCAAAGTGCGTACTGAGAGTACCAAATTGAGAAAGTACTGTCAGGTTTGTCTTAAGTTAATGTAAACAGTTGCAAAATAAAACGCATGGGTATCAGTATTGGATCCGTGAAATAAGTCTTGTGACAGCAGCCTAATAAAGCTGTGCCGTCTTTTATTAATGTTAATCAAACAACAAAAGACTTGACTAAATAATGTTTTGTTGAATAACTTTTAATGTTAATTTACAGTTTATTAAATTTCTGTAGCCTATTTAAAACACGTTCATAATTTAGAAAATGTAGTTAATACTTGCATCATTAAT